GAAAAGTATGTTGAATGGGTGCTTAGTAGATTCAACAAACAACATGCTAAATCTATTGCAGTCCACTTACCAATCATTTTCATTTGAGTAAGAAATATTGTCTGACGATTAAAAAAGAGCAACTAGCTATGTCTAATATTTTTTATTCTCCTGCAGTTAGTTTTTTAATTATCTTATGATTTGTATATGACCTGACATTTTTTATTCTCTAACGATTAAAAAAGAGCAACTAGCTATGTTTAATATTTTTTATTCTCCTACAGTCAGTTTTTTAATTATCTTATGATTTGTACACGACCTGATATTGCTCATACAGTTGATATAGTTAATAAATTTCTTTTTAATCCCAAAATGGTTCATTGGGAAGCAGTGAAATGGATTTTCAAATATTTAAGAAGTACCTCAAAAATGTGTTTGAGTTATGGAGTTTCACAACCAATTCTAGAAGGATTTATTGATGCCGATATGACAGGTGATCTTGATGGTAAAAAATTTACTTTAAGGTATTTGTTCACTTTTGCAGAAAGAGTGTTTCTTAGCAATCTAATTTGCAAAAGTGTATTACCTTGTCAACTATAGAGGTTGAGTATATTACAACAACCGACTAAAGAAATACTTTGGATAAAATATTTTATTCTTGAATTAGGGTTGAATCAGAAAGAGAGTGTGATATTTTGTGATAGCTAGAGTGCTTTAGATTTAAGTAAGAATACTATGTACCATGCTAGAATGAAGCACATTGATGTTAGATATCACTGATTACGTTCGATGATTGAGAAATAGTAGATGCTGTTGAAAAAAATTCATGATGCTGTTGAAAAAATTCATACTGATGAGAATGTAGTAGATATGTTGACTAAGACATTTTTCATAAAAAGCTTGAGCTTTGTAGTAACTTGGCTAGAATGGATTCCTTAGCCGAGGTAAGTCTCAAATAAAATTGCTATGATAATGAATATCTCTTAATGGGGTTGGAGGGGGAGATTATTAGGAAGAGTGGAGTCTAGCCTTATTGGTTTTAGCCAATTAAAGGGCTTAAAGCCTTTTTTCTCATTGACCAAATAGAGCCCTACTTAAATAAAGTCTTAAACAATAAAATGGGGCTGTGTAATAGAGAAAAAAGAAAAGTCAGAAAAATAGAAAGAAAAATAAGAAATGAGAGTTAGTTTAATAGAGTCGATCAATGATCCGATTGAACTGAAATTTTGTTAGCAAATTTATGATTTAGAGTTCTAAATTTTGAACTATGAAGATCAAATTTAAAGCTATTTAGAAATAAATCCAATGTGTATTTGTTAAGTCATCTATTTAATAAAATTTCAATTCTCTTTAGTTGTTGATTAGCTTTAATTTTAGCTAAAAAAGAACTTTATATATCCATTATTTAATAATAAAGATTTTTTTTGCGGTTCATGATTTTTTTTCCTTTACACCGAAGGATTTTTCATGTAAATCTTATGTACTTTATTATTCTTATGCTGTTGATTATTGATTATTGTATATTATTATAGGTTTATTATGATATATTATTTTTATGTTATTGTGTTTATTGTTTCAGGCTCAACACAAGTCCTAAATTTGAAAAATAATTTTCTTGTTTTGGCTTGTCTTGCTGCTGCTTTCACTGTACCAATAAGAAGGCTATCACTAGAAATAAAAGGGAGCAAGGGCATTTAGAGTTTCAAAGGAATGTTGTGTAAAGTAGATAATGAATGAGCGAATACTGGTCAAAGGAAAATGATAATGTTGTAAGAAAAAATTAAAAAGGAAAAAAACCCTGATGGGGGTTAAAAATATATAATTAAAGGTTTAAATTTGATAAAGAAAAGATAAATAAAATTTTTAAATTTACACAAAATTGATGTCTGGAATGGCACCTACAAGATTTGATTTATACTTAAATTTTTATACTTCATTTGAATAGTGATCAAAATTTTTCACCATATCATTACAACAAATGATATCAATAGTAAATCAATTGGATTTGAATCAAATTATTGTTCTACAAATTAAAAATCTCTAACGACAAAATTAAGCACTAACAGTGTACTATTGATAAACTCTTTAATTGTTGCATTCCTATTTTAAAATTTTGGTTAATAGAGTTTGTTTGATAATTGGTTTGTTAATAATAAATTTTGTAAAAGGAATATACAATGTACTAATAAGAATTTAAATTTTAATAATAGTAAAAGTAATAAAAAAGATGACATAGTAAATAATAAGATAAAGGTTTATTTAGATAAATGATAATATTTGTTTAGTAAAATTAAAAACAGTAGTAATAGTAAGATTAATTATTATAATGTTGATATTAAAATAAATAGTGAAAATATATATTTAAAAACAAATACAATATTTCTATTAATTGTTGAAGGGTCTAGTAAACTATTAGATCCTTCTCTTTCAGTTCAGCTGGAGAAACGAAGCAATTAGAAACCAAAAGTCCCTTAAATTTCATAGGATTAGAGGTGTGATGAAATTCGAATGAGCTATAATTAATTACTTAATACATGGAGTAACATAATAAAAGTAATAAAAATTCTGTGCGGTTTATAGATTATGTATAGTAGTAATATAAAAATTAATTATCTTACCTTTTTATAATTTTTATTAAATATTGTTACGTCCATTTATTCTATCAATTTTTAATCAATATGATTAACTCTCTAAATCGTCTAAATAGTGTACATCCGAATTGTCACGTCACTTTTACTCAAGGAAATGACTTAAGCCTTATCGAGAAAGGGCTCGGCCCATGTCCCCTATTGACATCCTATCAAAGGATTATATTAGAATTAAACACTTAATTTTTCATTTGTCTTGATGCATTAAATGTAACTCGCTTCTATTTGAGATTATTAAATGTGACTTGCATCCACCAACGTGAAGTCTTTTCGAGTTTTACGTACACTTTTTCATTAATTGTTAACTATCTTATCTCATATATAAGGTAAAGAAGAATTCCAAATATGCAAAACAATCCCCATATTTCATACCTATAATAGCATTTCCTTTATTGAAACTTCTCACACATATTTTATTTTTTATTTGATTTTTTATATTTCATTGACCTGATTGTCAAAGCATATACCAAAAAAATAATTCTAGCACCACCTAACTATATTTTTTGGTTGCAAGTTTAGACTCTCTTATCCTCCATCTCTCGTCATCCTATTCTAACCTCAATATCTCCTTATCCCATTCTAACTAAGACACCCAAAAATACTATTAACAAATATCTTAAAATAAATCATTAAAAATTTTCTAAATCCATCTTAAGTAAAAAATTCAACACAAAAAAAGAATGTACTACAAAATATTTATTAGAATGCAAAATGCTCGGATAAAAAAAATTCCTCCAAAGGTTTATAAAATTTGTTATTAAAACAAAGGAAAAGACCAACTTAAACTTTGCACTATAAATATTATAATGGGAAAAGGGTTAAATTTATTATTGTATAAGATTAAGGGTTTCATATTCATCCCTCTATCTTTTTTAAAGAGTTTTACCATTTTATTATATTTTTTAACTAGATTATAATTCGTGCGATATACGAAATAATTTTATTTATTTAATATAAATATATAAATATAAAAATCACTTTCTTTTCAAAATTATATTCAAATTTTTTAAATTCATAGTATATATTATATTTATATATATTAACTTGTCATTAAAAAATAACTTTCTAAAAACAGTAAAAAAAAAAATTAAGTCTTTCCTTTGGATATTTTTGTTTATAATAATATTTATACACCTATAAGATTATATCAAATAAAAATAAATTATGTCTTTCTTAAGAAAATAAAAAAATATATTATTGAATGATAAATTAAATAATAAAAAAAATATTAACATACTTTCATTTTAGTAATCTTGACTAAATTATAATGCAAAATATGAAAAATGTTAGAAAATATGTGAAAGAAGAAAAAATAAATTGAAAAAAAATATTATTTTTCATAAGAATAAAACTATAATAACAATAAAATATATTTTGGAAAAAATTATAAACAAAAAAAATTGCAATAGTATTAGAATATATCTTAGAAAAAATTATTGAAAAAATCTAAAAAAATGATGTATAACACATTATATTTGTAGTCCTAAATTTGCAAAAAAATTATTTAGTGACAATTAAAATTAAATAGATAATTTTTAAATTAATTTTTTAAAATTTAAAATAGATATAATAAGTGATAAAGAAAATATTAAAATTTTTGCATTTATTTGAAATATAAATTTGATCATTAAAGTTTAAATGGATATAATCATTTTAATGATCTTATTATTTAAAAATTTAAAATGAAAATTTTTTGAAGTTTCAAAATCTTGCATAAAGTTACTTAGTTTTTTAATGTCTTATATAAATTCTTTAAAAAGATAATTTTTTAAATCAAGATAAAAAAGATTATTGAAAGATTTTGATAGATTTAATCTTTGTAATTTGAAAGATTTTGATAATTAAATAATTTTTTAAATAAGGTTATTTGATAAACAACTAAGATTATTTATTAAAAAAATAAAATTCACATTTTATATTTTTAATTTAAAAAAATATATATCTAAATTGATTTGATTTTTAATTATAATTTGAATAATTTTGATATTTGAATAAATTTAAATTTATCTAATTTGTAATTAAAAAAATTATTTTATTTTTTTAAAAACTATTTTATGTGTTATTTAAGAAAATTATTTAAATGCGTCCATATAATAAATTTATTTATATATGTTGTTATATAATATATATATATATATATATATATATTAGATTTGATTCTAGTCACCTGCAAATAAAAAATAAAATATTTCATCTAAATTAAAAAAATATTTCATAAACTTTTAATTATAAGATAAAATAAAAATATTTTATTTCAAATTTCAAGTAAAGATAATACTAATAATTAAATAAAAAATACAAATAATTAATTTTGGGTATTTCAATATAGTACGTCAAAGCCGGTCGCGACATTGAAAAATTGAATTCCCGCTGAGAGAGCATCGGAGGGAAAACGAATGTGAAAGAAACCGACAAAGCAAAGAGAGAAAAGAAGAGAAAAGGAGAGAAGGGAAACGCCGGCACAACAGACGACGTTGACTGATTGTTCGAATGCTTCAATTGTGGCATCTCTTCTCCTCGTAAGCTCCTCTTCCTTTTTTGTTTGTTTCTTAAGACAGTCTTGTGAATTTCACTGCAAAATTTCTTTAAAATCCTTTTTTTTTTTTTGACAATGATGATAGTGGAGCGTAATTCTTCATCATTTGTAATTCTTCATCATTTTGTTGATGGGATTTTGATTATATTTCTCACAGGAATTCAAATTTTATTACTATCTTCCTCAACTCATCGGCTAGGTTTCCGCCGCTTCTCTGCTTCGCTTCACCGTTAAAGAAGGTTCCGTCTCGTTAGGCCACTTAAACTGACCCGATTTCCCCGTTCTCCTCCAGGTACTCAAATTTCCTTTTTTTTTTTTTTTTTGTTTCAGCTTATTAAGTTGTAATTAAAATTGGCAGGAAGACAATGCGGCCACCTTTCAAAACCCAACGGCAGTGTTAAAGCTTTGCATAAATGTTATGAAGCTTACAATTCAAATGATCACGGAGGAATTCATTGGAGGTACTGTCTTGTCCCTTCTTCGGAATTCATTTTGGAAGAAAAAAAAAGTGTGATAGGATAATATTTTGAATTTTCTCAATCGTGCACGTGGAGAAATAAAATGGACGTACATAATGTTATTTGAGAAAAAAAAAAAAAAGACAAATAGGTGTCGAGAGACGTAAATGACGTCGTTTGGACAACGAGAAAATCAGTAGAAAAAAAAAAAAAAGAAAAATCTTTTATCTAAGGCAGTCTCTCGGGCCTCATTGAAATTCGATTTCTCTTAAACCCCTCAAATTCTCAAACCGGTAAGCCTCCGTGACTTTCTCTCTTTGAATAATTGAATTTGGTTGCTAAGAAAATGCTGGAATAGATAAGTTTAAGCATTTTTCTAGTTTTTAAAAGAAAGAAAATTGCTTTTAACTAATGCTACCAAAAGTAATCATTTTTTTTGCCGGTTTGGGTTATTTCAGAATGTTTTGCTGTAGATATGCTCTGCCATTTATTACTAAAAGATTGAAATCAGTTGAAATTGCGAGGCCCAGGAGCCCAAGGACAACCGTGGTATGTTTTCCAGGGAAATTTCATCATTTTTTAAACAAAATTTTGCTTCTTTTGAATGCTAAAGAGAGTGGGAAAAAGATGTATGAAATGCAAAAATTTTTAAATTTATGATGGCAGTTTTTTTCCCTTGTTTGATGGTCTTTTTGATGAATTAGTGATTCTTAATAATTTTCAGGTATGCGCCGCAAAAGGTCCAAGACCTCGATATCCTCGGGTATGGAAATCAAGGAAAAGAATTGGGACTGTCTCAAAATCTGCAAAGCTTGTTAGTTGTGTAAGGTTTTCTTTGCTTTACTCTCTTAATTTTAGTAAGTTAAATATTACCAAAAGAAACATAGCTGTAGGTTGTTTATTCTGAAAAAGGTGGCGGGTTAAGCTGATTTTTCATGGTAGAAGGTAACTCGTTACAAATATAATGAACTGGAATTTGGTTGTTTTTATAGCAATCTTGAGATAATAATGATCTATTATTGGATATTCTTATGTAGGTAAAGGAACTGTCAAATGTCAAGGAGGAAGTTTACGGAGCTCTCGACTCCTTTATTGCGTGGGAACTAGAGTTCCCTCTAATTACAGTGAAGAAAGCGTTAAAGATCCTTCAGAATGAACAAGAATGGAAGAGAATAATTCAGGTAACTCTGTCATTTGATATTCCCTTTTTTTATTTTTGGTTTTTATCTTTTCTTTGGCTTTCTACGTATAATAGAGCTAAGTCAAGGGAAGTTCACTTGGGTTTTTAGGTGATAAAATGGATGTTAAGCAAAGGTCAAGGAAGAACAATGGGAACCTATTTCACCTTACTGAATGCTTTAGCAGCGGATGGGAGGCTCGATGAGGCTGAAGAGCTGTGGGCAAAACTATTTTCTGATAATTTAGAAAGTACTCCGCGTATTTTCTTTGATAAAATTATTTCTATTTACTATCATAAGGGCATGCATGAGAAGATGTTTGAGGTATTGTAACGTCTTCTGATTCAAGACTTTTACATGCTTTATCATAATTTGAATGTATAGCTTAGGCATTTCTTCTATCTTTCAACGACTTCTCCAATTAAGCAATTTACTGCATCTAATTCTCATCCCAAGTCTGATTTATAATCCCTTAAAAATCAATATAGGACAATTGAGACGGTTACTGAAAACTGTGGTACTGGGACACCCTAGCATGGAAAGCCCAGTAGTGCAGTAATTCCAAATCTGACACCTCTTCCAGTTTTTGGTTTGCTTCTTGTCAATACGTGTATAGCGCAGTACATCATGTCATTTCCCTCTTGCTTTTGTGTATTCTATTGAACCTAAAATGATAATTTAAGTACTAATTAATTATACATTTATACTATTTAAGTAATTTAAATATGTTATGAACCTGTCATTAGTTTTATGTAATGGATGCTTTAAACTTCTCTATGTCTGCCTAATGTAACTTGTAGTGGTATTATTGTAGGTATTTGCTGACATGGAAGAGCTTGGTGTCAAACCGAGTATTTCAGTTGTTTCAATGGTTGGAAATGTCTTCCAACAGTTAGGCATGTTGGACAAGTATGACAAATTAAAAAAGAAATATCCACCACCAAAATGGGAATACCGGTACATCAAAGGAAAGCGTGTTAAAATTCAAGTGAAGCAGCTACAGGAATTTGATAAAATTGCCAAAGGTGTCACTGAGGAAAAGGAAACGGACAAGAATTTGAGTGTGTTGCATGAGGAAGCCGAAGAAAGTTAAAATCCATTCACTACTGAAGCTAATATATCTTATTTGTGGATCAGTAGTCTTACATCTAGTGCAGCTGGTGGCCTTGATAGTAAGATGCAATATGTTCAACCTCAGGAGCAACAGAAGGAAGGCTTTTAAACGGAGAACAAACAATCCTTTCTTCATGTCATGTTATAATGTGTTGGCAAATTTAGGTCTGAGCTTAATGAAAACATAAGCAAGCTGTGGGGTGGTAAGATTTTTATTCTTTTTCTCATCTTAGGCTGCTGAAAAAAATATTTGATTAGTTGTAACCTTTCTTTCTTACTAGTGATTCATGGTTGATATCGATACCATCTTTTGCATGTCAAATTAAGGTGTAAAGACCACTACAGAATGACTCTTGCATTCCTTCATACAGAAATTTATTACTTAGAAGTTAAGGTATAGGTTGTTGTAATGGGTAAAGAGTTTATTCAAGCCTTCTGCGCTTTAAAAATTTAAAACATTTGGCAGCCATGGAGGGTGAAGGAGCCAAACTCGAGGAAAAATAAGGCTTATAATAAGGGTAGGATGCCCATTGCATGACTTTGCAATCATTCCGCGTAAACAACGACCTCTGCCAATTAAAGAGCAAATATTGGTATCTATCCTGGTAATGGTCGTTAAATTATTCACTAATTTCCAAAAAGTACAAGAAGAAAATTTGAAAAAAAAAATGAAAAGGGGGTGCTTATTCTTCTAGACGATAAATGGAATTTTTTGTTTCATTCCTCATCCGTGCCTGAACCTTCAGAGCTTGAGCCTTTGTTACGCACCGTTCCATTAGCAGCAATGCCCTTCTGTTTTGTATCCTTCTCATCTTCCTCATCATCACTGTACTCACTCTCATAATCATCATATTCTTCCTCTTCATTCTCCTCTTCCTCTTCAACTCCATCCTCCATAAGAGGTCCTTCTTCTGATACATGACCACCACGGGTACCTGCACGTGTTCTTTTGAGAATTTTAACCTTCAAGTTTGTCTTTTTATCACAACCTATCCAGGAGTCACACAAACAGTAACAAGTCAAATTGTAGTTCCCTTCCACTGGGGCTGGGAATTTTCCCATCACCAATCTGGAGCCACCTCGCACCTTCTCTACAGCTTTCTTAACTTCTTCACTTGTCTCCTTAGCACTTGCTCCTGAAACCTCCATTGTCTCCTGAATTGTTTTCGAAGCAGCAGTTATTGCTACAGCTTCATCCATGAAGCTTACTTTTTGGGAAAACCACATATTGTTTGAGACAGCATCCGCAAGCAAAAACCAGAAATTTTCTTCCTTGTAAAATGGGAAATAGGGGGCATGAGGAAGAGCACCAATCAGGCCATTGCCACGCTTGAGTGTTATCCAAGCTTGAACTGTCACAATGTCCCCCTCTTGTATACCCTCTTCACCCTCGGTCTCACATGTAACTTCAACTGTTAAGGAAGGCGTCATTTCCAATACCATCTCAACATCTTGTAGTTGAGCAGGAGAAAATCCAGCTGCTTGAGTAAGAAGTTCAGCTCGATCCTCCATACCCATGTCTCGAAGTTCTTGAAATGTTCTCACCTTCTGCAATCAAAAATCAAGAACTCTTAACCCCGAGATCAAATGGAAATAACTAAAAATAAATATGTAAATAAATTGGGGTCCATAAAAAAAAAAAAAAAAAAGAAACCTCAAAGGGACTCTCTATTTTGTTCAAACAGATACTCCCTGTTTAAGTCTGATTAAGGAAGGAAGTCACAGTTCTTTTGAAGCTCCCAAAATGAGCAGAATCTTCCTATATATTTATCATTTTGCACCAGTCAACCTGTTTTCTGAGGGCCATGCAGATAGGTTTCTCTAAGTAATCCAAGTCTATAAAAAACAAGAATGTTTCCTCTGTAGTTTGTACTGTAAACCAAAGTAGGATTCTAGGAATATATTAGCATATCAAGAGCGAAACTTAGATTTAGAAGATTTTATCAAAATAGCTAAACCACAGAGAAAAAGACTGCCAAAGCTCATTACATTAAATTTCCCACGTCAACCATCATTGAGATCTAGCTCCTCCATTTGACAGTTAGAAGGTGAATGTTAAAGAGTAGCTTGCTTTCTTGCTAACATTTTCTCACTTACCTTGCGAGCTATCTTTTTTATGACAGTCTCACTAAAATGTGGAAGCTGTAAGAAAGATGCAACGCCGTCAGTAGATCCTCCAGTTGTCTTTCTTGCACTAAGTGGAACAGCCTGCATTACATCAATCAAAATAAATAACACCAAGCATTAATATGGCCTAAAAGAACAGGGCAATTGCTGCATATTGACATCTGTCACCAAGAAAGAAAGGGAAAGAGAGAAAAGTAAACAATCAAAAATTAAATAATATTTTGTATTTATTTACTATTATCTCATACAGTAATTTTTGTGAGCAAGTATATTAAAAACCTCATAAAGTAATGTTATTAGGCTTGCACCAAGAAAATCAAGGAAGAATTGAGGATGGAGGGAAATGTTTGAACGAAGCAAAAAGGGCACGACATACATAGACCAACTTTAATTATTTCAAAAATAGTTTGAGTTAAATACTGTAAAGAACTTTAATAGATAATAATCAATAACTGGCAAATGCATGACTCAAAAACGTAGCAATGACTATACAAGAACCAGTAGGTAACTTTCCCCAAATAAGCACCTGAATAATACATTGAGAAAGTTCAACAACTCCTACTGCTGGCCTCAGCCATCCATGACCCTGGGCAGTACGTGGCACCACTGCCATCTGCAAAAGAGGATACAGAATTAACAACAGAAATCACAAATGAAAGATACAGATAATAGAGAGCAATCCAGACAAGAAAAGGGCATAAGGGTAGAAGAAAATGAAATAGCAGGCTAAAGAATGAGAACTTTGTCCTTATTGGCAACTGCATGAGTAAAAATGTCCATTTTTATCTTTCATACAAATCTTGTACGTAAATTCAATTGCATGTAGCACTAATTGTTTGCACTAGTTTTTCATTTAGCTTCTTACTCATTCGTCTATAATTTGACATCATCACTCTGGAATCTGTTCACTCATTTGACTCTCTTTTTTGGTTTACTTTTTAAATTTAATCATATGTCCAAAATATCTAAAACTCCTAGATAAACCAAGGGTCTGGTTTGGACCTTCCAAGTGACACTGGCATGTCATGCACATAACCACACATGAATTTTATTCAACTTATTAACTAAACAGAGAGTAGTTTACATGAGCCAAATTACTAAGTAATCTCACATTTTCTTATCCTGAAGTGTTAAGGATTTCCATGCATCCACCTGTAGAGAGGGTTTTTGCAACATAGTAATTAGATGAGGCACAAATTCTTTATCTTTTCACTTAAGAAATGGGCTTGGAAAACAAAAAAAAATACTCTAGTACAGCTGGTGTAGAACAGGTTCACAAGATGTGAAATGGTATCAAGACCAGTCCTAGAAGACTACTTAGAGATGATAGACAGGTGCAGATATGACCTTCAGTAATTCTTCAAGAAGTCGAGGTGCAAGTTCTAGCATGTGCTTGAAATCACCAAGCAAAGCTGGAGATAAGGCTGCTGATTCACGGGTTAATTGTGCCTGGATCAACAACTCAGTCTGGATACAAAATGACACAAAAGCAATCATAAGAAACTCCATCAAGAATCAGAAAAACATATACTCTAAGTTGTCAATACAGATAAATCTCAGTGCATAAATTACCTTCACTATAGACGGATGCTGCTTCCAAAATTTAGCTTGCTCTTGCTTAATGTTCTTAAGGTCCAGATTCAACTCACTCCTGACTGACATAAACAGCTTCTGGAGAGGTTCATCATCAGTCCTACGAACTGGAATTTCCATATATTCAGCAGCCTTGGTGAAGACTTCCATAACTTTGCTGTAATCCAGGTAAAAAATAAATCAAATCAATTTGCAAAAAATATACAAAAAACTCCTTAATTCTATACAGTGAAGGGATGAAAAATGTGATTCAATTAGACATCAAGAAAGGTTAAGAACTATAGGTATCAGATTCCACAGAACCATTAGAATGGAATTCAGCAATCTCATTGGGGCAACCCCCTGAATACGCCAATAACTTCATAAGCTCAAGGTAAGACATGGTTATACAAGTATGATATGCAATGCCACATTAATACAAGTGCATACATAACTAGACATAAAGAAAGAGGGACACCGTTATTTCCTAATTATAGCCCCCATCCTCAACAAAAAAAAAAAAAGGAAAGGAACTCACAAAAGGAAAAAAAAAAAGTTCTTGCTCCCATGGATAACATTAACTGCATTCTTTTTTGGTTACCACCATAGATCATGGAGTGCATGTACATTTGATACTAATTGATTCACTATTGGGGGTGTAATTAGTGATCATAAATATTTTAGAATGAGACAAGTACCTTGGGGCTAAAGAAGGTTTCATGAGGTAATAGTAAGTGGATAGAGTTTGATGCATGACATAGTTTCCGGTATACTTTGATGACCTTGAGAGATAAATGACAGCAATCACCAAAGGCAAGAGAATACAAACACCAACAATCCAAAGTAAAAGTATGCCACCAGACGCCCCATCTATGTCTAGCAAGAACTGAGGAAGAGCAATGCCCATTTGAAAACCCTGCATTGAAAAGATATGGCATTGCCTTAACTCTTAAAGAGGGTAAACTATATTAATAATTAGCCTTAAAATAAATTGCTGCTTGCTCTAGAAGATAAAGCTTAATTACTTGTCTTCCATCTGGATGACCATATTTCTCAAAATTTTCACGGGATATTGGGTCTGTGAGAGCCTGATAAGCCTTGGCTATGTACTCCACAAAATACTTGTGAGCCTCTGAAAAATAAATATAAATGCAATTATTGGTAAAAAAAAGTCATCATTCAAATGCCTTATTTTCCTTGCTAACCTATATGGGAATTCACACAACTGTATAACTAAAACATCTTCAACCTGGATCTGGATTTTTATCTGGATGATATTGAACAGAAAGTCTCCTATATGCCTTCCTTATTTCAGAATCTAAAGCTCCAGGCTCCAATCCAAGTATACTGAAAGGCTCAAAAACTTGAATCTGAATAAAAAGAAACAGAGCAACTCACTTAGCACAACTCATAGCTAAGCATCTAGAAAATAGGCATCGCAAGAACTGAAACTGAATGATGACAGTAGCACCAGAAGAAGGCAACAATTCTAACAGTGGGATAACAGTCAAAGATCTCATATATGATTCATACTCTAACTAAAAGTGATTACCTCCTTGCTAATGTTTTTAATGTAATAAACCAGGAATATCATGATGATCCAGAGCAGCACCAGACTCAAGTTACTACATGTTGAGAAGTTTGAGATCTGCAAGAACAAAATCAATACATTCCAAATATGAACACATACCTCGATGCCAATGAAATGCCGAAACTCCTAATAAATTGAATATTGAAGAATAAATTAAAGGGACCACAAAAGTACCGACCCGCTTAAATATGGATTTGCGGTACTTCCCCGAGCGAGAGCATTCTGAACACTGGCAATGAATGACCTTCGTTTTTTTGGATGCTGCTCGGCACAACTTAAGTATCGTGTAAGGCACTAAAGGGAGTGCCATTATTGTTAAAATGAAAATGGGAAACAATGCAGTATTCTCTTCTGAAGCAGCCATGGCGACCTTCTACCTTAAACAAGGTTTAATCAGTTATTGCACTAGTAAATTAAGCAACTTTAGCATAATCTACATTTCTATCGCCGCACCAAAAAAAAAAGATACTATAATTAATTTTAAATATAAGGATTGCGAAGAAAGATTAAGTTACAAATAAATATTCGTAAATATCATTCTTTTTTAATTTAATAAAATCAGGCTATGTTCAGGACTCCTGGTTCAATTATTTGGGGAAAACTCAAAAACCCTAGTTATTATCTGATAAAACTGGTATGTAAAAAAAAATTAAGCCAAAGGAGCAGTAAACTTGTTTGTTAGCACGCCAAAGCGGATCAACAGCTACTAAATCAAATCAATTGAGATAAAATTAAAAAAAAAAAAAACTAAAAAACCTAACATCTGAAATTGGAACGAGAATTTGAAGAAGTTGACAACAATTCGGATAATAAATCTGGCAGCAATTGATCACTCGTGGTTATTCAAAATTCCAAAAAAACGTAGAAGTTCAACCTATCTGCATAGATTAAAAAGAAAATAAAAGAGAAAAAAGAAATGATTCAACCTGAGTAAAAGAAAATTCAGATCGCGATCGCTTCAGAGACGACTGTGTCCGATGACGCCAATTTGAGACACAAAAGGGAAAAAGAAATTTGTGTGAGAGAGAGGAATGCTCTTACTCTTGGGTTTTGAATTTGTTTTTAGATCCGAAAACGTAACAAAAGGGTTTTGGTGTTGTTTTCCCATTTTAGCCTTTGATATAACGCATTATTCAAGGTTATAATTGTCAAGAATTGTCTCTCTCTGTGAAGTCTGAACGAGGGTGGCAGCTCGCAAAGGCATTCTCTTTTATCTCTCTCTTTCAACCATACCGAGCCAACGGACGAGGAAACTAGCAGTCGAGACAAAAGCCATGGCCTCACCAACAGACCCCCACACCGCTAACTCCACCGCAACCTCACCAACTTCCTCCAAACCGCCACCACCTCTATCTTCTCTCTCCTCCACATTCCCAAAACGAGGCTGACGCCCTACCTTCCACCTTCCAAATCTCCATTCCTTTCCTATTCGCAGACTTCGCCCTTCCCCTTACTCCCCTGACCTTCGAGTCAAATCAGCCTGACTCCGTCTCTTCTAAATCTGCAATCAAGGGAGTGCCTTTGGCCGAGTCAAGCTCCGGGTTCCCATCAACGTTCAGGATTGCGGGACTCACTTCCAGTGGCAAGAGTGATGGCCCCGCCTTCGTGGGCCACGTCTTTAGCATGTGTAATCTTCCGGGACTGGTCTTATGGCTCTTTCAACTCACTTCGATATTCCCTTTATCTCTAAGAGCTTTTTAATTAATCTGTTCTCTATTCTTTTTATTGTTGTTGATCTTAGCTTTAAAGTTGATAGAATTTGACCAATTTTCTCAGAAATAGTACATTTATTTTGCTCAAAAAACTCATTTTTTAATGAATGATTTGAATTTCAGATGGTATTTTGTAAATTTAATTCTTTGTTAAGTACTGTAAATTCTTGAAAGAAATTGGTTCTGTTTTGCATAAATTTAAAGCCTTGTATCTCTATTGATGCATAGAACGCTGGAGTGGCTTTCGAAGATATTTGCAAACATTACGAAGAGTGAAATAAAGGCCCTGTTTTTCGCTTCTTTACGGATTTAGGTGATGCAGGTATGATTTTTTTTTCCCTCCCAGCTTAGCTTTTGTTGATCAGTTTAGTCAATCTTCTTTTAGTTGGAAAGAACTTGCAATCTAACATGATGAAGTGTTTTTTCTTTAAGTTACTTATGTCAAACAACTTAATGTTCCGAGTGGGGTGGTGGGGGGCTGGGTGCTTGTCGTCTTGATTTGGCTTATGAGCATTTCAAGGTAAAGTTAAATTGATTCAACTTGAGTCCCTTCATGTCTATTTGATGTGAATTGTTGCTGGATTACTACATAAGTTCTTTAACATAGGATATGAAACTTCTAATCATCTTACAGCTTGTCACATGTCCGGGATATTCTTCCTATTTGTTATTCTATTTGCATGCTTGAGGACATTAGAAATCATACATGGTATTTCTATAGCCTTCTGTACTGCATATTGAAGAATATTGATGAATTCAAGAACTATTTGTATCATTTCTCCTGTTATTCCTTGTTATATAATGCTTAAAAGTTACTATGTCTTAAAAAAGAATGTCCTGGTGAATGAATGATCTTGTAGGGATTTGACAAAGATTTTACCCTTAATAGAGTGCATATAGGGAATCTAATTTATGTAACCTGAATGGTTTGGATATGCTTTGGTTGATTGGAGTAACTTCTCTACCTCCACAAATATTGTATAATGTATGACTTCCAATATTGTTCTGGATCTGCTAACCAAAATTTCTACTTACTGCACTTATCTGTGAATTTACATTTTTAGGTGTTGTTCCACTGGCTAATTTTAACGTTTATCATGATACTATCTACAGGAAAAGTCTAACTTATTTCATTTTGTTTCAAATGAGAAACAGGTACTATCGAATTGTCCGCAATTACTATATAAAAATTGTTCTTATTCTTCTCAATTAATTAGTTCTTATGTTATTAGGACATTTACTTTAAGAAGAAAACATTTACTGCTCTCACAGGTGAAGGCAGCCAACAAGCTTCTGAAGTAAATCCCACAAAATGGTGAAAGGAGAAAGGTTGATGGTGTTCTAAACTGGGATATTGCAATAGCTACTACAGATGGGATTAAGTGGTGTGTTCTTCAGTTCTTCCTTTTATCCATCATAAGGGTGTTATATAGTTTTATTTCATAGAATTCCCCTCTACTTCTCATCTAGGAATACAAATATCTTTATGTTGTGTTAGAGTCCTTGATGCTTGTCTAGCTCACTATTTCTTCCATCAGGTATACTCCATTCTTCTTTGATAAAAACATGCTGGAAAATATTCTCGAAGAGTCTGTTGATCAGCATTTCCATGCTTTAATTCAAACTCGGCGCATGCAATGCCAACCTGATGTAACTGACGATAACTTGGCAGCTAAGTGCTTGAAGAAATTGGAGATAGCATGAGGGAGCCTCCAGAGGTTACAGATTTGATATTCCTAAGTTTTGCATTATATTGTAAGTTAAACAGCAATGATTGAAGCAAATTGAATGTGGGGATTATCAAAATTTCTGGTATTATGGTTTTAGAAACATTATGGGATAGGTGGGATAATGAAAATTTTCAGGTTTCTCTTTTTACCATATTTTCAAATTTTGGAGCCTTGTGAAAAATAGATGTAGTCTTTGCTGGATTTAGAGTAGTATTTGCCAAAATGATGTGGGACTTTTTCTTTTTCCTTTTTGTCTGCTCATTTGTATGCTTGTCAAAAGAGTTCACTGTTTGTATATCTACCATAAGGACAATCAAATAGACTTTCAAGAGAATAGGAGACAATGTTTGGATGCACCTTGTTTCATTTTTGTTTTTTAACATTAAAGGTGTGGTTATTATTTGTTTGACTGCTGACTGCTGTGTTATCATTATCTTACAGGTTCAAGAAGTTTTAGGTGAGATTGGTCATCCTGCCATACCTTTGAGTGTCATTTCAAAGGCTGCTGAGATTCAGCTTCTCTATGCTGTTGATAAAGTACTCCTAGGTAATAGGTGGTTGCGAAAAGCCACTGGAATTCAACCAAATTTTCCTTATATGGTTGATTCATTTGAGAGAAGGTAAACCATATATGATTTTCACTTTCAATTGTCATATATTGATGTTAAACATTTACAATAGTGATGTATGTTTGCCTTAACTTCTTGACAGCCAAAATAAGTTTCATTAAAAATAGAATGTCTTTACAGTTCACCAAATTAACCAATCATGTTCCTTGCTGGGGTTTCCGAATGGTTCAATAAAGTTGATTTTTATACAAAGCATTGTACTATTTGCAGTCTTTCATATAATTCAGCAATTGGAAACAGGTCCTATGTTCCATTTTCTTGATTAATAAACTTGTCCTCTTAAGTACTTCAGAATGAGGCGGTCAACCCTTTATTTTTTTAATGTTGAAATGTGAAAAAAACAATGGAGCTAGGTCTTATTGTTGCTGTTTTGATGCAATGTTTACACTGTTGCAGGAGTGCTTTTTCTTTTGTTAGAGCCTCTGAGTCAACCACTTGCCTTTCCAACCGTAAAACAGATAGTAGCACTTCAGAGGTCAAATTAGTTGATGATGTTAACGCTGATAATGGACAGAGACAAGATTTCAGGTTTCCTTTTGGAGATCGGTTTAGTCATCCATGGTCAAAACAAGAAGGGAAACCTAAACACAGATCAGATGCAAGGTGCCACCATAACAATTGTCAAATAAATGTCTTTAACATTTCGTTCTAATCTGTTAAACTGATCTTGTTTTGTTCTTTTTGAATGATGATCAGAGAAATTTAAAAAGCAAAACTTTCAAGCTAACCCTTTTCTTCCAAAGATTACAATTGTTGGCATCTCTACTGAAGATGGACAGATGAGCAAATCTAGTTTGAAGAAGACTATGGAAGATCTAACAAGAGTTGGAGAGGATAGATCAAGGAAATGCCACTGGTAGTGAAATTAATGAGTTAAAAGTTAAAGACTGAGATCCGCTATTTGTTGCAAATGTGGGTGATTACTATTCGGGCTTGGCAAAGACAGTTTCGGCACGATGGATTCGAGGAGGGAACAACTGAAAGAGTCTCACTATGTGTGATGCTTATTTGGCGCGAATTTATTTATGAACGAGGTAAAATTGTAAAGTTAGCAGCACTTTTTTTTTTTTTTTTGACAGATCTCCTTGCAAGTCTAAGAAGGTAGATGCGCACATAAGGCTGCATATAGAGAAATTAGTTATAGGGATGTAGGTGATCAAATGGCTGAGCTTGTAGCATCCACATGGCTTGTAATTTTGCGAATTGATTCCTTGTATAACAAAATAAGCATTATTGCCTTTTTCCTCGTACTTTACCTTCAGCCTGCACCGTAAATAGGTGAAACTTGAGATTTTTTTGTGATTTGCAGCAACTCTATGTAAAGCTTGGAGCTTTAAATTGCGGAGTTTTTAAATTTTACCACTTAAAAGAATTAAATTAAATTTTTAATTAATAGACACACGGTAATTTTTTATTCTCACTTGTGGAATTTAAAATTTTTATGATTGGTGTATGGAGTAATATTCCTTTTGCTTAAATGGGTAATCAATAAAAAGGAATCACAATTCGGAGCAGGAGGTTTTACTTGGCTGTTAAAGAATGAATATTCACGTTTCGTTTTTTTATCTTAGCAAGTGAAATTCCTTTAGCAAATTAAAGCACTCTTAGCACTGATTTATCCCTATTGCTTGTCAGATAATCCATTGAGAGTTTATTTGAATAAACAGTAAAATAAATTTGGTTAATATTAAAAATAGTGATAATGGTGAGAGCAATTATTATAGTAATGAGATTAACATTTATTATTTGTATTTAAATACAAATAAAACGATGGTGGTGAAATAAATTATAATAAGAAAAAAAATTATCATTAAAAATTATATATAATAAAAATTTTAAATTATTTGATATTTATAAAATTAATAAATGATTAAAATTTCTTAAAATTATTTTTATGTCCAAAAATATTTTTTAAGAAATTGATAATAATATATTTTATATAAATTAAAACTGAACAAAATAATACTAAACAAGTAAATTA